AGCCAGCAGTCTAACCCACCCCTAATAAGCATGAGCTCTACCACATCCATCCCTTGTAGTTAACCCAATTAGGGTTATCCCAAATTAGAATGGACGAGGAAGAGGGGTTCTGAGATCCTGGAGGTCAAAGGGAAACTGCATGGTCACCTGCCAGGAACATTGGGGTTCAGGCATGGCATGGACTAGATGAGACGACGATGATGATGATGATGATGATGACGACAATAATAAAGGCTAGCACTTTACATAATGTTTCAAGGTTTGCAAAACAGTTTACCTGGATTATCTCATTTGATCTTTACAAAACCCCTGGGAGGTGGATGCTATTATTATCCTCATTTTTCAGATGAGGAAACTGATGCTGGGACAGATTAAGTGACTCACCCAGGGTCACATAGCTAGTGTCTGAGGCAGGATCTGAATTCAGATTTTCCAGACTCCTAGTCCAATACTCGATCCACTGCAGCAACCCCTAAGTTTCCTTCCACCTCTGGGATTTTGTGATTCTGAAAGGTCTGGTTTTCCTTTTTTAATTCCTCAGTGCCCAGCACTGACCCTTACCACAGCAGGCACTTCAAAAAGGCTTGGGATGTGTGTCTGTGTCTCTGTCTGTGATACACACATTTGCGTGCATTCTACCCGTGTGTCTGTGTGGGGGTGGGGGGGTAGTGGGAGGACACTGTACCCCAGAAATTGGCTGAACCTGAGGTAAGAGTCCCTCACAAGCTCAGTACCCTGGGGCAGGCCAGTACCCTGGCCCAAGCGCCCAACATAGGAATTTCATTGTCACTGACAGCCACCCCACCCTTCTGACAAGGGGGTCCTACACCAATGAAGGAAAGACTCAGATTAGAAGGAGAAAAGTGATTCCATCGGAGACATTCCAGATTGTGCCTGGAGAAGGCATCTCAATTCATTTGGGCACCAGCTCTCCTGATGCCCCTCCTTGCCAGGGACCCCCAGTCCTCCTCCCCTTCTTTCCACCCACGGTGCCACAGTGCCCACAGATATTACTGCATATTGGGTGAAAGGGATGGAGGCGATTCTGAGACTCCGTTCCTGAGAGCCAGAGATAGGAGTGGGGAGGGGCATACAGCTGCAAACAGCTGGAGGGCCTCATTTTAGCTCTGCTTTCCCTGGAACCTGGTCCCACAAAAGCTCCTCCTTGGGGACCATCTGTTCCAGGCTCTGCACACAGACACCTCTAGAGCCAGGCCCCCTGCCCAGCCCCAGAGTACAGACCCCACCGTGGTCCCAGGGCCTGAGTCATGGACAAGCTCTGTAAGGTTGCAGGTCAGCTGGCTGCCAGCAGAGCTACAATTACTGCCCCGGCCTTGGGCAGGGGGAACGGAGAGCAGGGGAGGGAGCGAGGACCCCAGCTGCCTCAACCAGTGATTCCGCCATGCCGACACATGGGGGGCCTTCCCCTCCCAGGCCCACCCTATGCAAGCCCATAATAGAAACCAGCCTCCACTACAAAGGGGGCTCTCCCTGGACTCATCTCTCTCTCGTCACTCTGGAGCCTGGACTGCTCAGGCTGGTTATCTGGACCCAAATGTGTGCCTTCTCTCCCTCTCCTCCAGGAAGTCTTCCCTGCCCACTGAGGCCTGTGCTGACTTCACTCTAGCTCCTCATCTCATTTAGCCTCCCGTGTTTCTCCTTTTCATGCCTTTCTTCTCCAACCAGCGCCCCCTCCTTGCACTCTCTAAGGACCAGCTCCCTTTCACACGGTGCCTTGCCATTCACAGGGCCTCTCAACAACCTCGAGGCATGCAGTAAGCATTTTCATGTCCATTTTCTACAGGAACAAACTGAGGCTTGGAGGGAAGGGGCTTACCTAGTACGTGGCTGAGTGGGGCTCAGTGCCAGAGCCTAAGCCTTTACCCTTTCTGCTCCACCCGGAGACTCGCCATAAAGACGACAACACCATCACAGGCTAGGCTGACCGCTGCAGCCCACCCAGAATTACCTGCAGCACTATCTGGCGTGTCCCCCCACAGAATCGCGGATTTAGAGCTCAAAGATACCCTCGAAGGCATCTCGTCCAACCCTTGTCTGACAGGCGAGGAGACTGAGGTCAAGAAACGTCTTACCCAAAGCCAGGCAGGTGGTAGTAGGGGCACAGCTAGGGTTGGGATCCCAAAGCCTCTCCCTCCTACGCTTCTGTGTCCATCTCTCTCCCCCCAGCACGTGAGGTTCCTTAAAGACAGGGACAGGTTGGTTTTTGTCTCTGTGCCCCCAGAGCTTAGCTCAGTGCCCATCACTAGTAGGCATTACGGGTAAAAACACCTACTATGCGCCAGTCACTGGGCTGGGCGATGAAAGCCTTAACAATTCTGCACTGGCCAGATCACATTGGGGCTTAATCATTGTGCCTGCTCCTGGGCACCACACTTCAGAAGAGATGTTGACAACCCCACCCCCACCGAGGGCAACTGGGGTGGTCAGGAAGCCAGGAACGATGGAGGGAACCAGGGTTTGGAGCACAGCACTCACTGCTGCCTTCAGATATCTGAAGGGCTGTCGCGTGAAAAGGGATTAAACACTCCTGTACTCCAAGGGACAGAACAATTTTGGCTCGCCACGAGGAAGAACTTTCTGACAAAAGTTTTCAATAATATAACGGGACACACCGTGAGCGTCTGTTTGGGCAGAGGCCAGGTGGGCGCTGGTCAAGCATGCTGTTGAGACATCCCTGCCTTGGGAAGGAAAGTGGAACCACAGATGACCTCCATGAGCCAGCACCAAGAGGCTGTGAGGCTGGCAGAGGCTCAGCGTGGGAACTCTCCTACCTGTCCAGTCCATGTATGCTATGATCTAGCGACCCTGGCTTATGCCATCTCCTGCCTCCTTGGCCGCTACACCTGGCATACCTTCGTCCTCACCTCAGCCTCCTGGAAGACAACTCTAATCTCACTTCTTGCTTTCCTGAACCTCCCGTCGCCCCCATAAGATGACCATCTATGTATACCATACCTACCCAGTATGGACACAGAGGTTTGCACGTCCATCTCTCCCATCAGAACATACGCTCCCGAGGGCCAGAACCATGTTTTTGTTTTCCTTTGTAACCCCACAGAGCCTCGCACACAGTAAGTACTCAATAAATGCTTGTTAACTGACCGACTGCTGTGGAGTGAGAAGCCATCTGGCCGAAGGGCTGAAGTCCCCCTAACGCTGGACTCACTGGAAGACCACGAGTATGGACTATTCCCAGCTGTGCTTCTCCTGCTGGCAGAGAGAAAGGGAGATTCACCAGAGCGCGTGGCTGTCTAAAGGGCCCAGGCCTCCACAGGCTGATTCTAGGCCGTCCAGGGCCAGGCCCTTCGGGAAGTGGCCAGGGCTCCACTCCAAACCACAGGAACACGGGGAAACAGCCTCAGCCCAAGGGTCCCAGGGCCCCAGTCACTAGGACCAGGCATGCCCAGAGCCACCCACCTCTGTGCCAAGAATATTACTGGGGAAACCATCGGAGAGGGAAGCTCTATTGCACATTCATTCTCTCCATCCCTTTCACATTCATCTTCGTAGAAATGGCAGACAACTTTTAGGGTGGCTCACGCTTGTATTTCACCCCTGAATTCAATGCTAAGGTTCCACCCAAGAAACGTATTGCTAATGTACATATGCCAAGCCCCGTGCGAACATTGTCTGGCCACCGCAGCACAGCAAGGCCTTAATGTGCCAAGCACCAGGGGACTCCTTCAGCTCCTTCCCTCCATCCAAGGCACGGAGGTGCCCTGGAAAAAGCCTGCAGTTGGAAGAGGAAGCTACCTCGCCTTCTCTCTTGGCATAGCGGATGGCGTAGAAGTATAGGGGGAGCTCCAAGTTCTCAGACAGACAATGGGCTCCTTACTTTTGCTTGACTGTTTGTCACAAGGGGAGTGGGGGGAAGGGGCGAGTAGGTGGTGACGTCAATACTATCTTTTTTAAATACACCAAACTTAAAAAAAAGAACCAGCATGCCCCCACCCCAAAAAAGGCAATTTTGTTACTTCCCTGTTATACAATATAGCTGTTTTTTAAAAACTGTACATTATAGAAGCTATTTTTAAACAATCTTCTTTCCTGTTCTTTATGTATTAAAATTGCTGTTGATGTTGAAATCAATAAAATGAAATGTAAAAAAAAAAGCATAAAAAGGAATTACTTGAGACTGAGTCTTTATGTAGGTATAAAAATGTAACCAGGTGGATGCTGCTCATTCTCACCCAATAAACAGCAAGAGTTGAATTGATCTGTGTTATTGAGAGCCCCACCTTCCCGCCAGACTGAGGGGGCAAGACACCTCCTCTCCAGGAGCCTCTCCCTAATCCTCCTGGTCATAAATAACCTTTTGGACCTCTGACCTCACCTAACACCTTGTACTTTTTCTTGGGTACTTAAATTTTATTTTGTATGAGAGCAATTTGTCCAACTAGATTGTATTCCCCAATCTGATCATAAGCTCCATGACAGTGGGTGATATCTGAAACAAGGGGGCTGAACTTGGCCTCTGATTATGACTTCAGGCCTCTCCCCCCTCCCCCACACCCCCACCCCTGGGCCTAGCACAGTGCTGTTCCTAATGTGCATCTAATAAACATTTACTTAATAGACAGTTGAATAGACAGCTCTCCCCTCACTGCTTCTACAAACATTTACTATTCAGACTGCACACTCTCCCAGGCTGGGGATTTTTATTTCCTCTTTCAGGTCAGGGGGTCTTAGTACGTGGGGTTTAGTGGGTGGGAGATTCCCTCAATATTATTTCTTAATCCTAGGAAGGGCCTGCCTAGAACACCTGCCTGGAAATAATGCCCGGGCTGTCCCACAGAATGATGCCCATCTCTGCTGCAGGGCCAGGCCCCGAAGGGAACACTGGAGGTCGGCTGTGTCTGGGGCCAGGGCTGACCAGGCCCAGCTGAGCCACACTTCTGCCACACCTTCCAAAGCCTTCGGTGCATTCCAGGGCCCTCCCCTCACCGCAGGGGCACAGCGCATAAAGGATGCTTCAGCCAAGCACTCCAACATTATTTTATTCAAAAATAAAACATTACAAAACCAAGGCAGGTGGGCATCCTTATCTTGCTGCTCTTATCTCAATACAGCTCCAGACTCTGGAGACATGGTCAGTGCCATCCTCCACGTCTCCCCAAGGGACCACCTCCCCAGGCCACAGGGGCATCTATGCTCTGCTCTCCCCAGAGAGGAGGGGTGCCACAAGGGAGGCAGAGCCGGGAAAGGTGGGCTACTGGGGAAGGGTAACGAAGCAGGGGCAAAGAGCAGACTGTGGCCAGAGACAGACAGGCTGGCCGGAGCTGCCAAGGATGCACACGAGGAAGGTCTGGGTCTTCCTGCCCCTGGATCTAGTGCAGTCTTTTTACCAGAACACACCAAGGTCCGAGTTCATAATGATAGCCCCATTCTATCTTCAGGCTTCTATGTTTTCAGAAGCCAAGAGAGACACATAAAAACATTACAGAAATTGCTTCCAGAGCCCTGCACGGAAAGACAGCCCTGTAGTCTGATCCATTTAGACAAGTCCCCGTTGTGCCCCAAGGTATCTCACTGTATATTTTTATAACCCAGAAAAGGGTTTCATGCAAACCCAAAGTCAAGAGTCTGGCTCAAGGGAGGTGGGAGACGCTGCTTCAAGCTAGAGGAGGTATCTCTCCCTCTCCCTCTTCCCGTCTCTGTCCTCCAGTGCCCAGACCCTCATGTGGCATCTCATCAGCACCTAATCACCCTCTCACTTTGATCAGGGTGGCACACGGATGCGGCACATCCCCCTGCCTATCACATGGGGAGTTTCTGATGGGAAGGGCTACCATTGCTCCTTTTCGTTTGTCCAGTCCACAGCACACTGTCCTGCATACCCCACAGGTGACGAGTATCTCCAGGACTTCATCTGCCTCCCTCACAAGGCTGCTCTGGCATCACGTAGGAGGCCATCCCTAGACAAAGTGCTCTGTACACCTGCAAGCTATAATTATCATTAAGCTTGTCATGGCCCAGGTTCTGCCCAGCCCACTCCACCGGCCCCAGGCAGACACAGCCAGGGGTGAGGCCTTTGCTCTCAGCTAGCTTTCAGGACCCCTCTATTTGGAACATTTTGTACAAACTAGCCAAATTCTAAGATAGGGCACTGCTGTATGTATGCATGCCCAGAGGAGACTTGGGAAATCCTGTCAGCTCCTGTTTGGAGGCAAACAGAGGCTCAGATAACACAGGGGGCATTTCTAGCTGGCTTAGGAAGGTTTTCCATCATAGCTCTTTCTAGTAGACTGAGAGGGTGAGGGGTCGTGACTGAGGAAACGAAGCCCCCTTTGGCCAATCTAAAAGGGAAGGAGCCAGGTTCTTCAAAGCTCTGGCCCGCAAGGACGCAGGATAACAGGTACCCATAGAAATAGACACGAGACCCTGGGCCACAAGCTTCAGAAGAACCAGGGGCAAGCTGAGACGTGATATTGACCTCCTATCCTCTTTCTTTCAGTTGGAGGTGTCCCAACATCAGAGGGGAGCAGGGAGCCTCTGGGGGAGATTAATGAGGACAGATGTGGCGTGCTCCTCAAGAAGAAACACCAGGAACGAGAAGGAGAAAGGCTGCCTGGCTCATCTGCAGAGGCAGATGCCTATTAGGGATTGAGTTGGGTCTTTGGGGAAGGAGGGTTCAGCCATGGGACTCCAAGGGGGCCTTTCTAAAACACATGATCACGGGGCGGTCCAGAAGTCTGGCACACTGAAGAGTCCCAGAGGGGCACAGTGGGTCTCACGGTGAAGCTCTCTTCACACAAGCAAAGGAGGGCAGAACAGCGAGCCCAGCGCTCGGGCCTCCAACCTTCAGCTGGGCCTGGCCGGGAGGAGCAGCCCGGGGACCCTGTGCCCCTCGCAGCGTCACACCGCCCTGGCCCAACAGTGCTCCAGGCGACCGCGGCCCCTCCCCAAGGCCCTCAGCCCGACTTCCTCTCCTGCACTCCCGGTGGCTCCACAGAGCTGAGCTGCCTCAGCTTCTCCCGGTAAAGGCTCAGGAGATGCTCGTCCGCCTGCACCCCGGCCTCCTTCAGCTCAGACATGACCTTCTCCAGCCTGTGGGCCGTCCGCGCTCCCTGGATCTTCCTCTTGCTCAGGTACAGAGTGAACTCCTGGAAGTCCAGAAGCTTGCACGTGTCCACCTCACAGAGGCTCCTGGTGTCTCTGGCTGTATCCAATCGGGGGAAGAACACGATCCCTGCCATCTTCTCCAGATCGCGGATACTCACCTGGAACTCTGTGAGCTGGGGCCGGAAGCCAATGGCGTCGTTGGGCACCACAAAAGCACCCAACGCCAGGGGTTCACTGGAGGTGAGGCTCCTGCGGGCCAGGATGACCTTGTAGAGGTGAGACGGGACGGCCACGTCGTCCTTGCCGATGACCTACAGACAAAGCAGGGACACCGCGTTACCACCGGCTGCAAGCCGCTTCCCACATGTCCCCTGCGAGGCGCGGGCCTCGGGGCTCAGGACACACCATGACTCCTCCCTGACCATTGGAGTCAAAGTCAACCACCAAAGAAAAAAATTAATCTGAAATACGGATTCTGAGACAAAATAAGCAACTAGCTGAAGATCCTGGTCACAGACCCTTCAAAGCAAATCACCTTTAAGACCACACGAAGGGCAAGCAAGTGCCCCCTGAGCTGCTCGGAAGGAGTGGAGCGGAGACGTCACCACGCCGCGGCTCTTCAATGCACACAGAAAGCTCATCGTGTTCTCGAAAGGTCAAGCTCCTAGCGCAGCCACAAGAACAAGGCCTTCGTCAAACTCACCAGGGAAAAGAACAAATGGAAGACGCTTTCAAACGGCCTTCGGGAAAAGGGCCGGACACGCCTCATCCTCATCTCTGGTATCTCCTGATTTTTAAAATTAAATTAGCTAAATGGGAATGCTGTCTGCTCCGAGTTTTCCTCACTCTCAGGCCTGCCATCACACACAGAACTGCTGTGGGGCATCAAACCAAATCCTCTGGAAAGGCACCCCCCCACGAGAAGCAAGAGCCAGGGTTACACTAGAAAATCTAACTAAGTTGCCTGTGCGGGTCTGCTACAATAATACAATAACATTCATTAGAAAGCCCTTTCAAATGTCCATCCCCTCGGCTTAAAAGCCGTATCTGTTTTCTGAAGAAGAAACTGAACATTTGTTTCCTTAATGGTTTCCAGTGAAATGACATAATCTGGCTAAAATATGTTCACAGCATTAACTCTTCGCTGCCCCCACACACACACACACACATAGCTGATCAGGGAACGGTTACGGCTACTTCTGATCTCCTCTGACTCGCCCAAGACAAGCAGAGCCGTCCGTCCGTGGGAGATGGCCTCGGACACAGAGAGATGACTAAAAACATAGGGGAGGGTGAGGTTCGGGGTCGATGTGACCTGCAGGAGGCTGAGAGGCCAGGGAGCACCTGAAATCCTGGTAGGAAAGGGGGAGCAGGCTGGAGGAGCCACCCATCGCCTCCCAGAAGATGGAGCCCAGGCGAGGGTCACAGAGCCCTCCTGAGACATCCTGACCAGGCTGACAGTGCAGGGACTGTCGCTCTCATTTGACAGGGGAGGAAACCAAGGCCCAGGCAGAATGACTGTCTGGGCAAGGTTCACTCACCCAATAAGTATCTGGACTAGGACCTGAACCCAGGTTTTCTGATCCTAGCCCTCTACTAAGTTTAAAGAAAACTGGGCTACAGAAAAGCAACGGAAGCTAAAATTCCTTCCCCAGCCTCTCTCTGGGCCCTGAGCCAGAGTTCTTTAGACACTCGAGTCCATCAAACCCTCTCTTCTCCCACCACAGCGCCACGGTAAATGGGTGGGGGGCCGGGAGAGGAGGGGATCTGTGGGCTGCTCTTCCACACAGGCAAATATCTAGGCCCGTGGGACGATTCCTGGCCAAGCAGGGCTCTCCTGCCTCAAGCCCATCCATCCTTCGGGTCCCGCTTCTTCCCCGATGACTCCAGATCATACTCTTCTCCTCTGGGGAGACACTGCTGATGCACCCCAACATCTGGTCTCTCCTGACCCCTTCTGGGGTCACCAGAAATAAAAGCCGTGCGTCTGGTGTTTGGGGCCGCGACCCGGCCTCGCCTCTGCCTCGGCGCTCTGCGCTCTCCTCGCACCACTGGACTCCTCCGTCCAGTGACAATAGCTTCCCGGGGGCTCGAGAACAAGACCCTCCCTCATCCCTGCCTCCAGCTTTCCTGGCTTCCTTCAAGGCCCAACTACAGCCTCATCTCCCACAGGAAGCCCTCCCCAGCCCTCTAATTCCAGGCCTTCCCTCTGTTAATTATCTCCCTGTGCACACATCCGTCAGCATGTCACCTCCCCCTTAAGACTGTAAACTCTGCGAGGGCAGGGACTGTCTTCTGCTCTTTTGTATTCTGAGCGCTTAAGCACGATGACTGGTACACAGTAAGCACTTAATAAATGCTTACTGCCTGTCTGATAGCTCTTTGAAAAAGACATTCCTTCAGAGCTGCTGGGGGAGATAAAAGAAAGTCAGGGTTTAGTCGGCCCGAAATAGGGACAGCTAGTGACCCCTGCTGGATTCCCGCGGAAACCACCTTCCCTCGCTTTCCCGAGGTGGGAGAGGAGAGACCAGGAGCTTCTCCCCCTTCTTCTCCTCTCCTATGACCGCACCCCAAACCCTAGGGGTTCTGAAGAGGATTTAAAGACAAAGAGTCTGGGGGAAAGGGATCATAGGGCAGGAGGGGGCACCAGGGTCACAAGCGGTCCCCATGGCTCACCCATCTCAGCCCCGTCATCGGGCCCACTCCAGTCTACGCCAGAGCCTGCGTTACTAGCTTGCTGAAGCCCACCTCCCCAGACTCCGCCCTTGTAGTCTTCCAAGAGAGATCCAGAGGCCGAGGATCTAGGCCAGTCCTTCCCAAATACAACCCCGAGCCAGGTCATTCTAAGGATTCCCACGATGGCCCAGGAAAGTCCCTCCTATCTGCCTCCCCACCTCCCCACGAAACAGGCACGCTGCTGTCTGGACACCCCCCATCTTAATTCCCATCCTTGCTCCGGAGGGCCGTCTCTACCCTCCAGAAGCTGAGTCTTCTCGCTCTATCTTCCTGACCCATCCCTCTAGACTGATGTGCTTTTTCCTCAACAGATTCTACCTACGTGGTGTTCTGGGAGCACATGGAGGGCTCTGTGTTCTGAAGCCCCCATCACACCAAAGCATGACCTCTCATCACATCCTCTATTTCTGACTCTCTGCCCCCCAACAGATCTCCCCACTCTGGACCAAGCCGAGCTGAGGGCCGCTCTATGACCAAAAGATGCAGGACCCCTTCACTTGCTCTCAGCTACAGCTTCTAAACACTTTCCCAAGGTCATCAGACCAAGCTGGTTGCCCTCATCCATGAATGGGGACCCCAGAAACTCTATGGGGTATGTGAGTACATGAATATATAGGATTATGTATGTAGTATGTGTATATATGTATATGTACACATGTACACATATGTGCACAACTATATATACTTATATGTGTGTATTATTTTGTCATTTAGTCATTCCATTGTATCTGACTCTTCATGACCCCATGGACCATATCACCCTAATACTGTCCATGAGGTTTTCTTGGTAAAGATACGGGAGTGGTTTGTCATTTCCATCTCCAGTGGATTAAGGCAAACAGAAGTTTGCCCAGGGTTACCCAGTTAGTAAGTGTCCGAGGCTGGATTTGAACTCAGGTCTTCCTGACTGGCTCTAACTATCAATGCATCTGTCTCCCCTGTGTGTGCTGTACGTGTGTGTGTGTGAGTGTGCACGCGCGCGCGTTGGGGGGGTGTTATCTATAGTATGTGGGTGTGTATACATCCATACACACACACACACACACGCGCACACACACACACAATTGGGGCCAGCACAGAGCCACTCTACCCTCTAAGTAAAAACAGGCAGCAGGCCAAGAACCTGTCAAAAACAGCCTGGTCCTTTGTCACTGCTCCTACAAGACTCTCAGTACGACCCAAGCCAAACCAGGTCCAAAAGCCAGCTGAGTCCCCACCACAGGGACCTCTCCCAGGGCACACAACACCGGACTGAAGGTGGCCCCAGGGACACAGCAGGAGTGTGCCATCCCAACAAGAGCCAGAGCAGAGACCGTCCAGACAGGCTCCCCATCAGAGCAGAGCAGTCTAGACCGGCCACCTGGCCAGTGTCTAGGAACGAGCAAAAGACCTCAATGTACAAGTCAAAGTGTGCTCCTGGTGCCACCTGGTGGACTTAAGCCACCACTGCAGCCGCCCGAGCTGCTCCCAGCCCAAGGTGCCCAAAGCAGGAGCTTCTCTACAGACAGTAGAGTGTGTGTGCGTGCATGTGTGTGTGTGTGATGGTGAGGAGCCTCTTCTGGGAGTCCAAGGCTTTTCCTGAACCCTGGGGAAGGTTACAAACCTCTCAGGCCAATCAGGAAGTGGAAAAGGCAGGACATTTCCAGAAAAATGAGCAAGCTTCCAGAAGCTGCAGCTGTCACCGTATTCCTGGAACCGCAGCTCAGGCAGAAGGGTTCCAGAGCAAGACGCTGTCCACCATCACCATCAGCAAGTATGCCGGACAAAAACACAGCCCCTGCCCTCAGGAAGCACCTGCTAGCAGGAGAGACTACGGCCGCCGTGGAAGCGGAAGATCTGTGCAGGTAACGGGCAAAAACCAGGGCTTCGGGGAGAGCTGACAGACCAGGCCAGCACAACTCGGAACAGCCAAAGACGAGGGCCGGCCCAGAACTAATGTGTCTTTGGGTGCTGACTGTGTGGCCAGCCCACTTCTCCTTAAACAGTCACTGAGGGAAGCCCTTGTCCCAACGGCTCACCTTCTCTAAAAAAGGGGCGGCCACCCCTGAGAAGACATCGCCAGGAGAGACGGGCGATGTCGGGAGCAGCCACGGGGCAGCTACGGCAGCTCATTACCTGCAGCGAGTTAGCTCCTTCTGCACATGCAGATGGTTTGAGACTCCCTCGACCGCAGTGACAGCCTGCCAGGACACACGTGAGCTGAGTGTCTGGATTCCTCCTAGCGGGGCAGTTCAGACATTCAAACGCATCTGGCCAAATCTGTCTCTCACACTAACCTCCAAGTAACGCTCCCTTCCATCTCTGCCAGGTAGGAAGCTGATTCATGGCGCCAGAATGGCTGAGGCTGGTCTGAGACGTGGCCTTGCAGTCCTTCGGTAATGGTTCTAGAGGAAGCGGCCTCACGTCTCTCCCCAGCTCTTCTGAGGCCTCCCTGGGAAGAGCTGAGCGGGTTTCGTTGGCCTTCTGGGCCTCGGTTTGTTTAAGGAGGAACTTTCAAATCCTGTCTAGTAGGAGCAGTCTACAATCCAGTCCAGACATCAGAAACCAAGCCTTTCAATCCACCATGCCATGTCTT